CCCAACGAGCTGAGGTGTGTGTACAGCACCACCTCCTGTGGAAAGTTTTACTCACTGTACTTCCAGTGATATAAATAAGGCTTTCACTGACTGACTTTTAATTTGCCTTCAGTTCTTCAAGGAGGGACATAAACTGTGAAGTCTGGGAGCCACAACACCTTGTATCAAGTACTTTGGTTAAAACTAGTCCATGAACAGCTAACTTCAAGGAAACTTGTTTTGTCTAGTTAATGATGATTCAGCAGATCCAATGGTTTGCAACCTTCTATTTCAACTAGATATTTATCACAAATGTTCCTCAGATCAAAGATGGTGACTTGAGAAACAGAATCATCTTTCACCACATGTACATGAAAGACACAAATGCAAAAGCATCTCTCATCTGTTAAATAGAGCACACACTTGGGACATGAAACATGCATGTTCCGTTCCTTACTCTACCTTCCTCAGAAGGAACATGAATGCAGGTGAGTACTGCAATTGTTAGCTTGCTCCAAACAGTACCTGTTTTATATAAAATAGAAACAAAACTGATGAGAGGTAGAGCAGTACCTGCTTTTGATATGGGAAAGAAATGCAAACCCCTGCTCTGAATCAACGTCCTACATAACATCAGCTGACCAGAAAAATTAAGAAACTGCTGGTTTAGCCTTCACTCATGAAACCCCATCATCATTACTCCATTGCTATCAGACTTCTTTCTGTACTTCCTCCTTTCTTTCCTCTTCCCTTTAGATTTGGAAACTGATGACAAAGCTGAGAAAACAGACTGTTCTGATCTATACATGTCTACCCACTGTCACTTGTGAAAATATATTTTGTACTGATACAAGGACACACAAGTTTGTGAAGTGAATAAAAAAGTGCCTGACCTAGTAAGGCAGAGTTCATCCAAGAGGCTTCAGAGCAATATTCAGCCTCCTCCTGTATCACCAAACTAGGAATTAAAGAAGCAGTTACAGCTTTACAACTGAAAATATACTAATTTTTCCACTGTGACCAGTTGCATTTCAGGCTTAGTTGCCTCTCTCCTCCTCTCTTGAGCCAAAGTGAGTTATTAATTAATTCTGATATGCTTTAGTCACTGCCTAAAACGTGATGTAGTTTATAGAACAAAGACAGGAGTTAAGGGTCAAACTCATGGGACCAAGTGTTCCTATTTGCTTTGGAGTTTGTTTGATTGCTTGTTTGTGGATTTTTTAGGATTAAAAATGAACTTTCCTTCTTACAGGTCCCTAGAAAAGGGGTCTAACAAAAAATACATTTAAAATCTTCTGTACTACATTAATTAAATATAGTGTTCTAAAACCATGTGCACAAGGAGATAGAGTTTGCTGATGACACAAAACTGGGAGGACTGGATGATTCACTGGGAGTTTGTGTGGCCATTTAGCAAGATTTGGACAGGCTGGAGACCTGGGCAAAAAGAAATCTAATGAGGTTCAACAAGAGTAAGTGTGGAGTCTTTCACCTGGGGAGGAATAACAACATGCACCAGTACAGGTTAGGAGCTAGTACACCAGTACAGCTAGAAAGCAGCTCCGTGGAGAAGGACCTTGGAGTCCTGGTGGACAACAAGTTTTCCATGGGGCAGCAATGTGCCCTTGGGGCCAAGAAGGCCAATGGTATCTTGGGGTGCACTAAGAAGAGTGTGTCCAGCAGGTTGAGGCAAGTTCTCCTCCCCCTCTACTCTGCCCTAGTGAGACCACATCGGCAGTATTGTGTCCAGTTCTGGGCTCCTCAGTTCAAGAGGGAAACGGGGACTTGAGACAGTCCAAGGGAGGCTACAAGGATGATTAAGGGACTGGAACACCTGTCTTATGAGGAAAGGCTGAGAGACCTGGGGCTGTTTAGTCTGGAGAAGAGAAAACTGAGAGGGGACCTTATTAATGTCTATAAATATCTGAAGGGTGGGTGTCAAGAGGAGGAGCCAATCTCTTTTCAGACATGCTCTGTGATAGGACAAGGGGCAATGGGCACAAGAAGTCCCACCTCAGATGAGGAAAAACTTCTTTACTGTGAGGGTGATGGAGCACTGGAACAGCCAGCCCAGAGATGCTGTGGAGTGTCCTCTCCTCTGGAGACTTTCAAGACCCATCTAGATATGTCTCTGTGTGACCTGCCCTAGATTCTGTGGTGATCCTGCTATGGCAGGGGAGTTGGAGTCATCTCCAGAGGTCCCTTCCAAGCCCTAACATCCTGTGATTCTGTGATCTAGTCCTCAATTACCTATCTCACCTCCACCAAGGAGTCTTCATTTGTCAACAGCAGCTGCCACTGCAGACAGTTTTCAAATTTCAGTTAGATCTTAAACTGAAGGTAATAAAAACTGCAGAGAAATGTGAAGGAATCTTAAAATAAGCAATATCTGGCACTAAAGATACATAAATGAGTCCTCAGGAAAGCACCAGTGTGTTCCCTTCTGCACTGAAACATGCTTTTATTGTCCTTCCACAAATATGGTGAATCTAAAGCCCATGATAGCATAGTAGGTCAACCAGATATCTTCCCTCTCCACTTCTGTAAGGTTCTGGAAGTTCTAAAGTCACAAAACTAATTAACATGCAGAGCAACCTATTCAACTTCCTACACACAAAGTGGCAATAGCAGCAGCCCCTTTGACCATCTTGCCTCCCAGGTCCTTTGGGGACTGATGACCCTGCAGATGTGCACACTAAACATGCAGCCACAACTGAGTCAGGACTGTGGCAGGGACCTCTAATAAGCTGCTTTAGAGTTACCAGCATAGGTGCTCCACATGCCAGAGAACAGACACAGCTAAGGCTCTCTTTGTACAAACACACTGGCCTCAATTCAAGCTCAGAGATAGTGTGACTTCCACTTGGCAGCCCTTATACCTGTAAGGAGAGGCTACACTGGAAAGGGGAACCTCTGGAAAGGGATGATTCAGCCATGGAACATGGCCAAGCTTTTACTGAAGCTCTGAATCAAAAGCAGTAAGTACCTTCATTCAAGGTGTATCAGACTGGCTCTGTCTGCTTTTGGGCTGCAACAGTTCCCCAAGGCCCACATCTCTGGTTCAGCAAGAGTTTCAGAAAGCTTACATGACAGCGTCCTCTCTCCAAGAAAGCTTACTGAATTTCAGAGGAGTAATTAAGCTATTTCCTATTCTGAAAAAAAAAACCTCAAAACAACACCAAACCACCACCACCAAAAAAACAAGCCAAAACAAACAAACCAAACAAAAGCCAAGCCCCCCAAAAAACCAAACCAAACCAAAAAAAGGCAAACCACAAAACACCAAAACCAACCAAGCCCCCAGAACCCCTCCAAAGTATGTGCAGAGGGAATTGGGGGGTGAAAATGTTATAAATGTTGTAATTTTGCAAATATTTGTAATAATGATTCTGTAGTTTGGTTTCTAAAATTTATGCATTTCATATTTTATTTTGGAGAGGAGAAATATAAGTCAGAACATCTTCACCACAGAATTTCAAAGCCAAACACTTTCATGCCAAAATTTGAAAAGTGGCTTTAGCCAAGCTGAGACAAAAATAGCACCAGAGCTAGAAATCAAAACTCTCCAGTTCCTAGCTCTTGTGCCTGAACTCAGATTGCCCAACTTACCTTTCATCAGGAAAACAGGAGTTCAAAAATTTGCATATAGGTTAGTTTTTGGAGCTGTACCAGCTAGTAGCTGCAGCAGAGTACTAACACTGTACAAAAAACAATGCCACTTGAAGAAAAGAAATAGACTGCTAGAGATTAATTAGTTCTCTTTGGGGTGTAAAAAAAGGATCCTTCATCTTTCTAGTGTAAACCTAGTAGGTTAGATTTCTCTCTGAAATTTACTCGAGACTCCTTCTCTACCAATCACTTGTCCTACAGTGACACTGTAAAGCTTTCGTAGCAACAACAGTGTTCAACATCTCAGCAACATCTCCTAGCAGGACATGGACATGACCAACACATGCAAACTCCATGTTGAAAGAAGCAAGTCCACTGGGCCAACAAGTCACTGAGGAGAACGACCTTAGCTAAGTGCCTTACCTACTTCTGAATTGACCTCCTCTGAAACTGAGAACAGTTGCTTTGTTAAACTCAGTTTAAGGCAAACATCACATTAACCCACAGATCTGATTTTATTTCACGAAGGGAGATGGTGATGCAGTCAGCGCTTCCTCTCCTCAATGAAAACACCATTTTTGGCAGTGTAGGATTATCCAAGCTAGTAAGACTCTTGCTGCTCCATAATTTTGCTATGGTCTGACAGCAAAACAGTCATGAACACATGTTGACAGTAACTCAGAAGCTACGCATTTGCTGGAAGAACATCTGCGCTGATGAAAAGATGCATCCAAGACATGCTTACGCACTTCTTCAACCCCTTTGTACAGACCTTAGTTTTGAGGCATGGAACTGTGTGAGCTTCTTCTTCTGTCTTTATAAGCTCCCTTAATTTGACAATTTCCCATTTTATTGGACTTGAATGAAAGCATACGAAGCCAAAATCAGATAATAATTAGTAAGTTAATATAAAAAACAGGGAATACCAACTGATGTGCACAATCACAACTGTCTACAAATAAACCTGGACCCCATCTGGAGGATCTGAAACCCTAGTGCCTGTAATATTCCAAGACCTCCACAAGCTCACTGTGAAGATGATTAGATCAGGAGTCAGGGTGGTTATCCAAAAAAGGGCTAGAAAGGTGTCCCCACTGAAGCAATGTTAGATGCTGATATCCGGTCCCAAGGACACATTCATCCAAAGAGAAAACTCTTGATTTTTATTTCATTAAATACTACATTGTACTATATTCACTGAAGAAAACCACACAGCTTAACTTTTTACAGTGTCAGAATTAACTAAGTTAAATGACCTTAATAAACTCTCCTTTTGTTTCTACTTGATGACCGGTCTCTTAACACAGTTACTTCACATGTAAGACACTTCAACAGCTCAAACCAGTACAGCTTTGCACTTTAAAACTTCCTATGATATAAAAGCACATGTTTGTCTAGCCTCTTGTTCTTACCTCCAGAAGTCCATCTTCAGGTAGGTCTGTGCAGTGGACAGCATTCTGAGCCTTGTTCTTCCCAAAGACAGCACGCAGAGTTCCAGGTCGGAGATGTCGGGCTATTTCCTATTTGAACACAAGAAAACCAAAAGACCTTTGCAACCAAAACTGTTCCTTTATATCACGGACACAACAGAATCTTAGAAAGTAAAACATTATTTGCTATTAATATACACGTGGTGCACTATAAAAGAAAACAAAGAGGGAAATTCCAGATTGCACTACACACATACACAACTGCTGAAAAACCATGACCAAGACAGTGAATACTAACTTCTTGAAATTGGGCCAATCAAGCCACTTTGGGAAAAATGCAGGAGCTTTCATGTTATAGATACACCTTCCTGGGACTTGAATTAATACAATTAGCTCATGTTAACACCTTTGCAGCTCTCAAGCACAGAATGTGCTGTCCTCAGTGAGCTGACACAACCACACTACCTTAGAGACTGCCTCACCTAACACTGAACTATTTGTCTCAGAGCCTGACATTTGTGAAGCCCAACTACTGAAGAGCATCTGAGTATTCTCCTCCACAGTGTTTCTCTGACAGCATGACTACTGCCAACCTCTGATCCCCTCTGAGGATCAGTCCAGACTCTATCTAAATCTTTCTCTGTTCTTCAAAGTTGACATTTCAATACTCTTATTCATCTACAACTTCATGGCCTCTCAGTGTGTCTCTCTTACTACAGCAGACACCACTCTTTATTATGGTGTATCTCCCATGTCATACCATAGATGACTGCCTTCATTGGCTCTCTCCTCCATCACGCTCTTTCTTTTGAGGTATAATTAAGTTCTACTGTACTTCTCTGCAGTATCACTTTGCAGTGTTTTCTTTTAACTCCTTTTCTATGCCAATGGTGCTACACATTGTTGGCTTCTCTTCCCAACAACCTGGAGTTCTTCTCCAAGCCTACTTCATGCACAATATATCTCCTGAAATTAAGTGCTGATGGCATTAACCCAATTTTCCCTCCTAAAAATCTTTTGGACATTCTTCCATGAGTGCCTCTTGACCACCGCTGCCTGTGAGGGGACAGGCCAGTGACAAGCTCATGCTACAGCTACTGACCAAAAAAAGGATTAATCCTTGCCAACAGAGCCTACATTGGCCCCTGTCTGAAAAGACAGTGGGTACATGAGGGTGTAATCACTTCGGAAGTGGCCAGCATGTTTTCATTGTGCCACTCCCAGGTGTTTGTTCCACTGTCACAAGTGGAAGTTACTGCCCCCATAGCTTAGTCACCAGACTGGATTGTCCAAGCATTTCTTAACTTTCAGTGTCAAACGGGTTCAAAGTGACTTCAGTGAGGGCTCTTGGCTGAGCTGGAAGACTTTGCACAAGTACAGAAGAGAGCTACTCACATGCTGCGCACTCCCTTCTAGGATGGCAGTGAATGTTTTAAGCTAGTCCCAAAAGACCTCACAAAAGCATTATTGAACAACAGGCTTTAGCCACTTTCCAGCTTCACCCACTTGTCATATCCCATTACTAAACTAAGACAATCAGACTTTAAGGGCAAAATCTTCTTTTAGTCCATCAAGTCCTAAATATTTTCCTTTAACAACAATTAACAATCATGGTGACCTGTTACCTAGTAACCTACGTCTTTTATGGTGATCTGTCACCCACCTGGCAGACAATCAAACTGCTTTAATGCCTGGAGTGTGTCTAACACAAAACAATGGACAAGGAGAAGTTTCCGTTCCCCATTGTTACTGCGTGGACGTCACAGGTTATACAGGATCTTTGGATACGAATGTCAAGGATATTTGAATAAGATATCAATATATATATATCAAACAGATTTTGCTTCAGAGGAAAGTTCAAGAGTTGCACTTAAAAAAAAAACAAACCCAAGGAAAAAAAACCAAAAGAAACAACTCCTCCTGGACACAGTCCTCATTAGCAGCTTGTGATAAGAAAGTCTGCTGGAGAAACAGAAGTCACGTGCCAGTTAACTATAGCTATGTAACACTTTAATCCAGCCTTCCTTGAAACAACTGTTGATTCCAGTAACAACTAGCTGTCAGGAAGCCAGCAACAGCACTAGGCTTTTTATTATTTTAAGGAAAGTTTAAGCATATTAGGAAAAAAGTAATAGGGCTATAAAAATTCCAGAAACACTATAGCAAGAAATAATTCAGATCTAAAAAACTAAACCTTGGTTTTTCACATTCTGTTTACTTCCTATCCATCAAACTCTTTTGCTCCATCATTTGACAGGTCCAAAATTGCTGCTTCTTATGAAACTTTCCTAAGTTTTTTCTTGATCTATCTCTCCCACCAAACCCACTTCCTGCCTCCCTCCCCCCCCTTTAAAAACAGCTATGACCTCCTCTCCTGACTTACCATTTGCCTAAGCCCTTGTTTCTACTTCGTAATTTCACAACAGAAGACCCCATGTTTCTTCTTCTCTCAGACTCACCCTCTCTTGCTAACATTAGCAAAAGTTCCTACTGTTGCAGTATGTGATCTCCTGCCCTCCCTTCAATTTTTTAATGCAAGTTGCTATGCATTCTCCTGCCCTCCTGAAACTCATCAGCCATCTTGCACAAAAATTGACTCATTCTGGCTGGCTGGGATTGCATTAGATCAGACATACACAAAGGTAGGTCCCCCAGCAATCTAAATCTGATCAGTAAGAATGTAAATAATGCTTTCTTGTCATTAGTTAAGAAACCACATCAGACCTAAAGTAGTCTCTGCTTATATTTACGTAGCAAAAAAGTGTCAAAAATTGTTAATTCCAAAGTTCTACTATTCTGTTTCACTTACACCACAAAGGAACCCTCAGGGAAAGAGGCCTCTATAAGTAATGGAGATGCAAAGAGCTGTATGGATCATATATAGGTGTCCTTGCATCCGTATGGCTGGAAATTTTGGGGTGTTTCAGGGAAGGAGGAAGAGAGCTCCCTATAGAACTTATTCCTCATGGCACATTTTAATACACACTCTTCTGTTCCATGACAGGAAGCTTGCCAAACATTTCATTTCTAGGCCCTCATCTGCAACAGCATGGAAACACAAATGTAATAGTGGAGTTTAAGCTGGTTACTCCGTACTTCTCCATCTCCTTTAAACCACTTTTCCCTAAGCTTTCTGCTGAGTCTTGTTTCTGGAGTGTGTACTGATTCTCAAAAAAGTTTTAAAGGGAGTTAAGAGTGGGATGACAGAGGAGTTAAGAGCAGCTGCAGCTCTACCATATGCAGGAGAGGAGAATAACATGTGTGCACAGGAATTCCATGTGCACACGAAGAATACATTGTCTGCAACAAAATAAATGGGTTGCTGTACCAAAGGTTTCATCCTCTTTGGTCTTACCAGCCTATTTGATCACACCTTACAGGCTGGGCTTTGATCGGCAGCAAGCCCTTTGAACACCCTTCTCCTGCAAAAGGTACAGGTGCATATATCTCATGTTTCTATCATATAACAGTGCCCAGTGCAACACTGCCCGTAAGAAGTACTTAGCACATTCTAACATCTTTTCTATCTCTATACAAGTGAAGGGAAACAAAAACACCACAAATGCCAATTATGTGAGAATCAGACTTAAAAATCATAAACATTCTCATGAGCAAAGCTTATAAGTGCTCTTCCTTCGAATGGCTGTTTTTTCATGGACTGGATGAGAAGTTATCATAGAATCATAACTTCAGCCAAAACTGAAGATTTCAAGAAAATGTCATGAGGTTTTTTTAATGTATGTGCCCTGAATACTTGATTTGGTATATAGAAAGGCTGAAAGGCCACTGTTCTTAAACATTTATGCGTGTTTTGTTGTTTAAATGGCATCCAAAGAAAAGCCAAAGTGGTGACCGCTGACTCCAAGCAGCAACTATTCCCTCCCTTCTCAGTGGGAAACTGCACAAACTCTAAATGGACCGAAAACACACAAAGGAACTTTTACAGCCTAAAACTTTCTCTAGTTGAACATGAACTAGAAAAAGGAAGCCTTGAAATTTTGTTACTGGTACCCTTGAGTGAAACAGAACAAAAATAAGAGAGTTCAAACCCTCTCCTACCCACAGTGCACGAGTTCACTCCTTCAGGTTTGCCTTCAGGGCAGCAGCATTTATAGGACTTCTTGGGCTGCAACAAAATCTGCACAGTCCCCTCTAAGCCTCCAGTAAAAAAAAAAACAAAAACACAAGTTTGTTTTCCTTTTCTATCCAAGCTGTGACTCCACGCCTGTGCCTTGCTCTTCTCAGCATTCCTCACTCATCACCCTTTGTGAAGGCTTTATGTTGATTTGGTCTCCCCACCCTGCACCCATGAAGGTTCTTCCTTCTGCAGGTCTCCATACTCCATTGTTGTCACAAAAGACATGGTCCCTCTTTGCTCTTCAGGGTGCCAACTGATTCAGAAGCCAGCAACTAGCCTCAGGCAAACAAGTAAGTGCCTTTCTCCTTTTAAGGACCAGCTACACCCTCCTCAGGAACACAGCACACACATTAACTGTGAACAAACAAAATCATGTAAATTCCACCACTCACCATGGAATCTGACTGGCTGAACTTGGAAAGCACCATTGGAAAGCACCTGAGCTTCCTCTGAAGTGAGCGGGAGGGTGATCAACCCTTTCATGTTGTACTTTGCAGTACAACAGCTGTGTAAGGCAGGTAGGGTAAGTGCCTCTCTTCCCATCACCACAGCTCGTCAGTTGGCTTTTATTTTCACAAGATTTTAGCATTAGCCATATCACACGCTGCTGGTTGCAGCCGGGAGCTGCACAAAATGCTCATCTCTACACCAGCCATCAGGAAGAGGTAAAATGATAGAAGCAGCACAGAATGTATTCCATGCAGAATACAATGCTAGACAAGCATGTCCTGTAATGCTTATTTAAGCTAAGAAACACTTTAGCATTATTGTTACTGTGGGAACAACCTCAATGGGACAGTTTGATAAATCCTTCACAGAAGCTCCCATCCAAAGACAAAGGCTTAAATGATAAAATGAAATAAATGTTTACAGATTATTTTGTACACGATACCACAAGGGTTAGTTTGCCTCATCTTGCTTCATATGGTTTTTTTGCAGCCCATACTCCTTC